GCAGCAGCAGCAGCACCGCCATCGTCATCATCATCATCATGACTACCACCACCACCACCATCATCAGCATCATCAACAACAGCAGTACATCAGCCATTTGAATTGATGCTTCGCTGCCATACAACCATGAGGACCTATGACATAAAGAATAAGAAGAGGGAGAGAAGGGGGACTTATCTGAAAACCTTAATATCCTAAGCAAAGGTTCAAGGTCAAGGAGACTACACCTTGTGTTAACAACATACCGTCACAAACAGTTGGCTATCATGCAAAGATAGGCCGCAACGGCGACACAGCTTCCTTGCGGCTTTCACTGCCCCGCGTCATAATCAGTCATTACGCCGCAGATAACTCAGCACCAAACACACTTTAAACAGGCAATCTGACTAAGAGACGGCAGCAGATGCACCAATGGTGTTGCTTGCGAGCCATGTCCTATAAAGTCTCGAGCCAAGCACAAAGCGAGTCACGTGGACTCCAGCCCGGAAGACGAGACGAACCAAGGGCACCCAGTTTGGTCGTCAGTGACTTCATTTCCCTCTGCGAAGTCAACTTCTGTCCACCTCGAGCCTTGCGCCACCCTACACCTGGCAGAATAAACAAGGCCCTCCTAAGTAAGCGGTCAACAGATATACGTAGCACGTGCCCGAGCCAACACAACTCATTCAGTGCTATGTGTTGTTCTAGGGTGTAAACATGTTTATCACTACCTAGTAACCGCCTACGCACATCATCGTTGCGGACACGCTGATGCCATCCGACACCAGCGATGCTTCGCAGACAAGGATGATCAAAGACTTGAAGGTGCCTCAGATTTTCAGACCTAATGGGCCAAGTCTCACTACCATAAAGCAGAACGGCCCTCATTGTGGCCTTGTATACACGGCCTTTCAGACGGATGGAAACTCTCCTCTGTCTCCAAAGATGCCGCAGGTTCAAGAAGGCAGCTCTGGCCTTTGCAATGCGTGAGCTGACGTCAGTTTCTACCCGCACATCGTTGTTGATGCAGCTTGTATATTGCCACCATAATCGATTCGTTCCAAGTAGCCGGGACACTCTCTCCTTTCCAGACACCTTCGAATAAGGTCAGTGCTTTGCAGAGGACCTCACCTCCATCCTTAAATAGTGCAGGTGGGAGGGAACCCGGGCCGGCGGCATGAAAACGATTGAGGGCCGTGATCGCGTTTCGAACGTCGGCCTCCGACGGAGGCTCTAAACTAACCGTCCATGGCCCGTCCCGAATCACCTGAGTAGGAAGAAGTCCGGGAGCACGGGGCCAGCTGAACTGATCTTGAAAGTGTTCCGCACAACGAACCATACGGCGCTCCTTATTGCGTATTAGTGCACCCGCGCTGTCTCTGATTGTCACAATGACGCCTAATTTCCTGGGACCAGTGGTGTGGATCAGTTGGAAGAGTTTGAGGCAATTGCCTACTGCTCTTGCCTCCTCCACTTCTTGATGCCGATTGGTCCACCATGCTTCCTTGTCAGCCTGTAAACTCCGCTTTAGATTGCGCCTAATAGCCCGTCTGGTCACATTGTGCTCAGAGCCAGCCGGCAGGTTTCTTCTAAATTCCAACAGGTGCACCGACCTCTCGGATATCCATTGACTGGTGCGGTGACGATGGATAGGGCCACAAGCAGATGCTCCTGCGTCGTGCATGACGGTCGAGATCCTATTCCACTGAAGCTCAGTGTCATTAGAACAAGACAGCGAAAGTTCGGTACGCAGTGTGTCTTGATAGGCTTGCCTGACCGAGGGCTGAGACAATTTCGCAGTTGCCAATAGGAGGAGACGCTTGGCGCGCCTCCCGATAAACTTCGTGGAGAAACGACAGCAATCCAGGACGCAATCACGCCATCTGTAAGTTATGGATATGTGGTCAACTTGTGTCTATCGCTGGCCAGCAACAGGAGGACGCCAAGTGGCACTTCGGCGCCCACTATGTCTAAAAGCAGTGCTAGTAAGAAACGACTGGTGCTCCGCACACAGTTGCAGCAGACGCTCACCGTTGTCAGTCCGTTCGGAGTTAAGCTCATAATTATCACCCAGCTGAGCTTCTGAAGAGCTCAGACGCCCTACTTGTGCGTTCATATCCACTGCAAGTACTATAATATCTGAAATAGTAGCACTGCGTAGCAGCGCGTTCAGTTCGTGATAGAATGTGTCCTTGACATCATTAGAACTGCAGTCGGTGGGAGCATAAACGGAAATCACAAACAAACAGCGTTTGGATTACTTCGTGAATCAACTTTAGCTGATTTCGTTAAATGGGCTGCACATAGACGGCTGTTCACCGGAATCCAATCAACCAACGATGGCTCAGCCTTGGAGCTTAGAATGATATCTACATCAGCTTGACCCGTGAGTGCTGCATCGGCATCTCCGGATGCGTGCAACTAATAACGAGAGCATAAGCTGGGTGCAGTTGATTCAATAACCACGTTAGGGTCATTGATCCTAGTTTAGGACACACAACACACATCAATACCCAGTGTGTTCAAGGGGCGTGCGAGTGCAGCCCGTTGACCTGTTTGTCGTGTAGTGCGAACATTGAATGTCGCCATGGAAACGGGACAGCGGGGCCTTATAAAGGACTTTTGCCGATAGGTGTAAGATAGGTGTTGTGGGTTGGTGGCTGCAGATGGTTCTACTCCAATGGCACTTCGGTTGCTGTCAATTAAGCTGGGAATTATAGAAGGAAGGTTAGTAATGGGGGTCGGGATGGGTAACAGAAAAAGATGGAAAAGAAAGAATGGAGGCGCCAGCAGTAGCATGTTTTCGCTTATCCGCCCTGCTGTATGCAGCAAATAAGGCGACCCTTGATAATCTGCGCGACGGCCGATGCAGGATGGAGTTTATGTTTGAAGAAAATGTCATGGTTGTATGTGGGCTGAGATAGTGCCAGGGCGCCCAGACCTAGACAAGAGGACGAGTAGGGTCCTCATTCAAAGTCTTTGGCTCAAAAGCCTGTCCGCAAGGCAGCGGGGAGGTGGCAATGATATAGTTTTACAGAAATGGATGCCATCCCATTTCCAACCCCCAAGCTGGAGGACCAGGAGACTGAGTTTGTCTGACCTCTCACCATTGACCAACCTGGTAGGAGTACCTCTCAAGGGGCCCGGAGGCAACACACAGCATAGATCAATGGGTCAAGGAGGTACGCAAACCGTCGCACCACGTTAAGGTCCAGTCTCGTTGTGACGGTGTGCTATAACGTTGTGTCGAATCCTCTGCTATGCTCAAATGGAAAATTGACCCGCTTCGTAAGATACAAGTGAGATACTGAGAACCGAAGACCGGAATGTGCCAGCGGTTTCGGTGGAATTAGGCGACAATTCACATAGAAAGAGTGGTGAAATTGTTTATGAAAGCGATAACGTCGGAGAAATCGCGAATCAGGCTTCCGCACCTGCTCAACTCGCTCAAGCATAGCGCAGGTGAGAAGTTGCATAATGACCTTGTAGCTATGTGTATGGTCTTGATTGTGGTGTCCGCGTTCAGTCGTGATCAAGTGTTTCGACTAGTTTTGATTTCCGGACATTTACTAGACCGGCTTGATAAGCACAAATACTCAGCCTCATGAGGGTGTCAACGATATCACTACGTAGGCAAGTTCAAGGAGAAATTATGAGCATTTTCCCGATTGGGTCATCCCGCCAGCGTGACAAGCGCGAGGCGCACATGGAAAGTGTCCCGTGCAAAACTTATCATAAGTTGGCAAGCACCTCATCGCGGATAAATCTTAGTACGTCCATATGATACCACGAATAGAGAAAAAATTTTCTATCAGTTATCCCCCCAATGTTGATAAGTAGCGCGGATTGCAGTATGTAATGATACACCCTTTCGGTGTCGTGAAGACGGTGCTGGTGAGGTTACGGTAACATCGGATAAATGTAGAGGGAGGGGGTAAATGGTGCACCAAATTTGTGGAAAATTAATGACACTATGAAACAAAAGGCAATGCAAATAAGCATAGCGAGAAACCGATCGAGAAGTTTTACCTCATTCAATTGCGTGGCACAGTAGAGCGGGGTAGTCAAAAGTGTAGGTACCTATCCGCGTCCCCACATCGGACTCGCTGTAAAAGGTGTGAAGGGAAGCAAACAGTACGAACCACAGTTGGCAGCTTCCGACACCAAAGAGTGTGAGAGAGTAGTTAACCCAACATGGGGCGACTTTAGGATACAACTCATAGCCGAATTCTCTTCGCGTTTTTAAAACAGGAATTGTTCTCACCGATACCCACTGTGAGGTAAGATAAAGTCGCTGTCGAGGTTATGTCAGTAGCCCCTTAATTGTTCCCATGATGGTGTTGGGTTTTAGGGATATTAAGGTTGGAAATACGCATGTGTTGAGTCAGACCCTGCATTTCATTTTACAAAAATGGAGACATTCGGTCTTCTCGTGCCCCCAGGAACCTCCAAGAGTAGTTACTGTTGGATGCCAGAATTCAATGGTGTGTGCGTCCCGGAACATCAACTAGCCCGTTTAAGACAGCCATCGTTTGGAAATCGTTCGTCTTAATTGCACCCGTACATCCGTAATGTACATCTCAGCAAGGGAAATTAAATCAGATGCACCCCAAATAAGAGAAATACAATCATTCGTGTGCAGCGTGTTAGTGTTGACTGGTTGCTGCACCGTCCATGGTAGAGTATTATCACCTCAACAATACTCTCATCACTAATGATAATTAGTGATAATTATCAGTAAACTGGTTTACAAAGGATGTCAGAGCATTTAGGAGTACATAACACTATAAAGGACACTACAGGCCATAGAATAGACAACATACAGTGAAAAGTGATGGGAACCCCCGAGATGTACGGTAGATTTACCTCAGGCTACAAAGTCGTGTCTATAATAAGACTACCTCTGACCCATAGTGTGAGTTGTTGAGGCGACGGAAATGCACTAAACCATAAATCGGTTCCGTTAAATGAATAAAATATCGCTTGATGGAAGGGCAGTTAGCAAAAAGGAGCAAACTAACCCTTTGCAGGATCCATCATCATAGCTGATTAGACGAATGCGATGAGCTTTGCGAAACAACTGGCCCAATTCTATACGTGTGGTAGCTCGGGGAAGACGAGTAACGAAGAGCGTAGTCCATTCGAAGTCCGAAGGCTTACGCTCGTTTCGAGTAGTTGTAGCCGGTTCAACCTTCAGGGGTTTCCCGTTCAGCGATTTCGAAACCAACTGCTTCTGAGCGACCTCAAGTTCGTGTTGATTGCGGAATTGAAGGAACGCATAGCTGAAACCAACGGAATGAGAGACGGCGGAATAAACTCACTCGAACCAGAAAAAAATGGGAAAAGTGGAGGAAATTCCTCAGTTGTCCATGGACATTGCGTGAACCACCGCTAGATAGTTGTACAAAATTTGCTTATCTCTGCGCCTAGTTGCAGATAGTTAAAATGAAGATAAAAGCTAGTTACCGAACAATACGCATGACGCAGATGTAATGACCGACAAAGTGACGGTACGGACTGCGATGAGAGTATGCAGAACAGTAGGGAGAAATTAGCAATCTCCACTATAAATGCAGTCAGGTCAGATTGGTTTTGATGTAGTTTCTCACGGATTTGGTGACCTGAGAGAGTGTGTGCTTGGAAAATTCATTTGGAAACAACAGCTTGGAGGCCGTTAGAATTCCTATGTCAGCGATGGTGGCTTGCTTGATGTCGTGAATCCGATGTCAGGTTTTACTGAAGACGCGCTTTACGACGTCAGACATCTAAGATCCCAATGATTGGGTGAACATGGTTGAAGACATAAGAGAAGTAGATGGCTGAGCCAGGAAGTAGAAGAAGCAACTTGGTGTGCTCATGCATGGCTAACTATCGAGGTATCATCACCATTATTAGACATTACCTGAGGGAGAGAAACACAATTCAACTATTGTGCTACAAAAATAAGATATGTGAAAAAGTGAGACACTATACAATAGGAAATTCAAAATATGTAACGTGCTGCAAAGCAACATTATGTCTCAAGACCCAGGTCGTGGTTAGACGGGGAAACCATGTGGGATGGGGAGGGATAAAGAAACTCACAACACAAATGCCACTGAGGTCGGCTCTTCGCGATGTCAACAGGTTTATCGAATCAAATGTGTTACTTGTCCTTGGGACCCCAACCCGGCAGTCGGGAGGCACCAACTGACGTCAAGTTCCAAGTGGGTGTCTTCATTCCTCTTGATCAAGTCAGCGCCTGGCCTCCCCTCATCTTCCATTCACTCCCCGGGAGCACAAACAGCGCACATCGCGGGAGTCGGTAAGTTGGTATGCGCAACATATAGCAAAGCCACCGGAGCCTAGTTTGTGAAATAACGGTGTTGAACGGTTCAGGCGCACTTTCTGTGCCATAAACAAAGCGACAAACACTTTCATTGACCACGCGGCGTTCACGCTAGAAGTGAGCTAAGTTGCGGAAGCAGCGATGCTCGAATGTTGCTAGCCTCTTTATATTTACTGATCTGACGGGTCAGATTTTGCAACCGTTGAGCGAACGCCTGCATTGTAAACTCTGCTTTTCAGAACACCACATGCAGCGGAGATTGAAAAAATGCCTCGAACTTTAGCTATACGGTTCGTGATCTCATTTTCCAATTCAATGAAGCTGATATAACTGCCTAGAACCTTGAAATACTGGACGAATTCTAGATGATCACCACCAATGGTCAGCGTATCAGCCGGTTCCTGACAAGTTTTGAGGAGTTTGAGTTTCGAGGGTGTAAAGCATAGCCAGAAATGACTGATAGACAATGTTAATTCGTCCAGTGCTACTTTGAACGTTTGGTAGCTTTCGCATATAACAGTAATGTCGTAGGGGTACTCCAGAAGTCGATCACATGGAGGAATAATATCATGTGGCTCCAACGGTTGAAAGCGTATTGGCGTATTGGAATATGCCATTTATTTATTTACTGACGGGTCCAAATAAGATATGAACCAGAACGCAAGGACGAGTCAAGTAGTGATGACATCCCTTGGAATTTTATGAATCTCATCCTACTGTCCTACTAACCGTAAGCACCCGAAACACAGGAAGTTTTGCTTGCGGAGGTCAACCATGTGCTTCGCAAGGTAACAAACTGGACGACAGGGAAAAGAACGCGTGCTTTACCGGAGCGAAGATCAATCACATAGACAGCAGCCATTATCAACGGCCGGCTGAACTAGAAGACGCATGGATGTGTTTTCGGACTTCAGAGAAGTGGAGGAAATGCGTGCCGCCAAAAGGCCCCAAAAAAATGAAACGGCGTTTCTCGGACGTTGGCAGTAGTATGATCGCGTGGAGCCCTGACAAAACATGAAATTCGTTAAATGCACACGCTACTTCCCCAGGATTTAGTAGAAAATCAAATATGACAAACGATAGCTGTGCCACCTACGTTAACTGAGTCAGTGCTGGACCAATCAGTGATTGGGCTGTGTCCACTCGTTTCCTATTACCTGCGCCTACCGGTGTCAAATGTGCAAATTTAATGCCAAGCTAATGATCGATTGAGCGGTTTTAAATGGTGTAAATTGTATTTGATGCTAGTCAGAATGCATTTCGCGTGCGGTCGAAAATGGCATGTTCTGCCGTCTTGTGCTACAAGCCAAAGATTGTATTATACTGAGAGTTGTAGTTCCGCACGGGCCAAGCTGTATCATTGGGGACGGAGATAAAACTTGGAATCATTTTCTATGAGCCAGCATACACCATCTGAACAGTTTTGGTAGGATACGCCCTCTAAACCAACCAAAGGCTCATTAGAAGGGAAGCATCTGCGAGTATCGTGAAGCATTCCCAGTAACAAAACTTCACAGTATACTGAGACTCAATCCGCCGAACTCCGGGGACAACATCTCGACACATAATGCATTTTGTTGCGCCGCGTTTGTACGAGAGTACGTATTTATCGGTCTCAACACATTCGATTGCCTTTGGCGGCCGTGGCAACATGGGTTTATTGCACGCCTGAATTAGTCTCAGTTGCAACAATTAGAAGAAAATTCTAGTAAATTCATCAGTCGTATATAACAGTTCCATCCCGATTGCCGTCATAATGAAATTCCTTACACAAAGTTCGAAGAGAAAATATCTGTCCAGGGTCTGTTGGTTTGTATCCGGGACGACAAAGCCACAGAATGTCTACTTTCGGAGGATGACACCATGCGCGCTAGTAAGAGGAAGAGAAAACGTGGTGCAACAATTGAGTTAAAACGATGTTCTTCAGGATACAGTTCCCCAGGCCAAATTGCGAATTGCCCCAACTGGTAAACATCCCTTTACTTGATACTGATGAGGCGAAAGGCATGGAAACGACGCCGATTGTGGGTACAAGCAATCAGTCTATCACAAAAGCGGCAAGGTTGGACATTTGGCACGCGTATGACGTTTGACAGTTGTCCAACAACCGCTATCACAGCCCGCAGAAAATGTTTTTCGATAAGTGGAAAACACTAAAGAGCCCGTCACACACTACCATATTTCATATAATGGTGATACTTCCCTATACTGTGCGCTTAGAAATTGACACCGGGGTATCAGTCACGTTGATCAACAGGCAAAGACTGCTTAACCTAGGTCTGATACTGATTCCGTTTAAATTACGTTCCTATACTGGAGAAGCACTCGACGTATTGGGCGTGTGTGATGTGAGGGTAACTCATGAAACAGATACGCTAACTATTCCACTGAATATGGTTAACATGCGCCGCCCAAACCCACGCCGGAAATACGTCGAACTTGCAAAACGATGAACCGCATTCCGCATTTGCCCACACTTTGGAAAGTCTTTGTCAATGTTTCAGAGGCAAATCTGTGTGGAAAATTAGGATTTAAAAGCTCGTTTCAACATCAGTCCAGGCATCCAAACGAAATTTTTCAAAGCACGAAGTTTGTTTTTCGCAATCGGTGCTGGAGCGCTTTCAAAAGGACGGAATAACTTCGCCAGTATGTACACATCCCAAAGCGCACCGATCATTCTGGTACAAAAAGCAGGTGACACAACTCGTATTTGCGGTGGCTACGAACTAATGGCTAATCAAACGAAGACTACGGCAAACTACGGAATTCCACAGATGATGGAAGACTTCTACGCAACCTTGTTGAGTGGACAAAAGTTCTTCAAAATTGATCTGAGTCAAGCAGATGGTTATGTGGAGTCTCATGAAACTGTTAAAGATGTTATGACTACCAATAAACATGCGGAAGTTTTCACCATAACCGGTTACAGTTTTCCCTCTCTCTTAAAAAGTATCATAATACTGGCCGCCGTAGATAATAATGAACCCCACATTACCTGCCGCATCGATCAGAGTGAACAGGGGTTGGAATGCTACTGCCTCAAGCCTTTCTGCCTTCTTATTCCACCTTTTGCGCATCTTCATCGTCCCCTTCCAACTTCACTATTATCCACTCTGTTTTCAATCCTCCAACTCTTAGCCCTCCCCATCTTGCTTCAATAGTCGCTTCTCTTCTAGTTTCGACTCACACGCAATCGCATGGTGTCGCTCCAGTCCAGTCGGTAAGTCCATGTCTAACCAAGCGGACACAATGTCAGCTCATCTGTTTCTGTTTGGAGTCCCCGATCCTCGCTAAGACTGGAATGCCTCAAGGTGCACATTTTATTGAAGATTGGCCAACAGACAGCACTTGCTCGAACACTGGAGACCGTATCGGACGATATCTGCGGTTGTCGAAAACCTGCCTGCAATAATCGAGCTCTGTGCTCAACCTGCGATCCCCACAAGCAACATTGTTAGCACGTTCTCATTGCACTGGTCCGGAGATGACGAAACTTCAAATACTGATCAAGCCGGTGTGGGCATTCCTCGGAGTCCCCGCGTTGAAATTGCCCTGGTTGGCTGAATCCCAAGTTCAGTTCAGTCGAACTACTATGATCCATGCACCAAAGTGTGGTGGATCCAGTAACCACGACTCACATCGCAAGAACAACAATAATTAACAAAGGCAAGGCGGTAGAGTTGAATGCAAATAGAATGTAAAGAAAATGGAAGTAAGAGAGAAGTGCGTTAAAGTAACCAAAATAGAACGAAAATTAACAACCAGATGCAAGAAACCTAATGCAGGAACGCCACTGACCGCGTGACTGCGCCATTTTTGATACGGTTTCCAGTCACTGGTGTGGACCATCCAGAGGCCCTTATCCAGGAAGATGGTATGCACTCGACTGACCAAATCTCTCAGTCACTTTCTTCTACCCAATATGCCACGTCATGAACGGACCACCTCGCAGTT